GATGCTCTTTCAAGCTGTAATGAAATTTGTGTTGAGATCAAAATTTAGTCTATTACGCAAATGGTCAATTTACATGGCACATTGACAGTGACACACCAATTTGGCGCGAAGACATCAGAGCCAAGATTATTGAGGAAGTGACGAATGAGGACTGTGAGCCGCCAGCCGAGGAGCCGAAAGATATGTGTCAGATCACTGATGATGACAACGAACTGAACGAAGATAATGAATTTGACTGGTCTCTTAACGAACCAGTCATTAAGTCGTCCTCGAAGCCCTTAAAGTTGTCGAGCGGCTGGCAGAATTCGCACAATTTCGAGGTTTGGAAGAACTTTCCAACGCCATTTTTATGTAACTGACATTATAATGCGCTATCGTCTGCGTGAGCCTCGAAAGTAAACTTGTATTGATTCCTTTTTTATATGACTGTGAGAGACGTATACATTTTATAATGAACTTTTATGCACAAAGAAATTTTTAGTTTCTGCTAATTTTTTTGCTAGATATTTTTTACTGTTTTGATACTCAAATTACATACCTAATTACACACCTTTGCCTCCTGCTTTGTTTTTCTACATACACCTTTTAAGCAGACACCCCTTTTAAGCGGACACTTAGACGAGGTCCCGAAGGTGTCCGCTTAATAGGGGTAAGTCACTAATTAATAACTTTAGGGTACCGGTAAATATTTTTCTGAAATACTTCATTTGTCAGTTGCACCTTACAGTATATAATATCTTGAAAAAAAGTTGGAATTGTACCCTGTCTAATAGCTTATATATATATTCAACCTATTGGCAACATCGGCAACTGGGCTGTCTTAAAATGGGTGTAATTGAAGTCATTATTATTCACAGCTGGTCTAGAAAATTAGGACTAATATTGGGTTTTTGATGCATCATACTTTTGTCAGTAATGTCACTCTGTAATTTGTGTCAGTAATTTCTTAGGAAAATTAAAAATCTTATTCAGTCCTGTTTACTATATATGCAGAGTTTTATTCAATGTATTATTCATATGTATGGTTACACTGAATTTTATCAGTAAGTAAATTTCATTTTATATGCGTGCACATAGTTTCAAGACCAGCTAGCGCAAGACCTTTTTTAAGGATTTTCCCATGGGGGGGGGGGGCATTTTTTGAAAAGGGACCTTTCTATGAGATAATATATTAGAGGGGGTAGCAATGGCCGTGGGTTACGGGTGTGGCCGACGTACCACGGACGAATAAGGGGGGTCTGGGTGCATACTCCCCAGAAATGTTCGAAATTTGAAGTCCGGAAATGCCATTTCCTGCATTCTGAGCATCTAAATTTGCTCTATAATTCATCCTAGCTACATTTGTATTTGAAATAAAATAAAGAAAAAACGCGCAAAATATTTTAAAAATATTAACAGTAATTTATCATTTCTTAGTGTTAGAAACACGTACAGTAGAATGCACACACAGTGACACATGCAGCTCCTTTAAATCGATTCTGTTAAACAAGGGCAAGATAAAGCCTAAAACTTGCTTTTCGTTTATCGACTTGCCGTATTTTTTGCTG